AAAAAAAAAAAAGCCATACACTGATAGCTTTCATCTCTTTCAAGATAAGTCCTTTTCAGATCTGGCCACTGGTGGGGAGAAACTGTTTCATCACACCTAGAATGACATCATCCCCCTCTTCATCATCCCCTCATTTCATCCAAGATAAACCCTCTCCAGGTGCTGGCCACTGAACTCAAACCCCCAAATCCAAATTTCTAAGTGCTCTAACTGACATGCTCACTAAATCACCTCTCAGTAGAACCTCCAAGCCCAAACTCCTCCTTTGGCCAGTGGCTCATTTTCCACCAGGAGAGTGGGTCCATTCCTGTGGGTGTAATGCCGTTCCTGAATAAAAGGCTGAAATGATCCGTGAAGTATGTGTCCGGCCTGGTCCTTTCATGCTAACCACGAAGAGATGTAGATAGGCAAGCTTCTAGCAGCAACTGGAAGTCTGAACCCTGAATAAAGAGCAAAATCCTGGCCCTGACCTAGGCACTGACCTCCATAGCATCCTAACTCAATCGTAGCACTTTGTACAAACCAAACCCACTAGAAGTCAAGAATGAGAATGGAAAACAAGGTCTGGCGAACTGAAATGCTGCCTGTTAATGCCCAGTGATTCTGTAAACACATGGCACGTTCCCTGCGAAGGCCTCACGCCTCCTTCAGTGACTCCAGTACTTGTGCTTTCCCACTAACGATGCCCTGGGAGGAACTTACCCTAATCATCATCTCTCTTTCTATAATGCTGTCTTCCAGGGAAAACATTTCCGACACAGGTCTCTCCTTCACAGGCTCTTTTTTGACCCGCTCCTTCACACTTGTCAGGTCGGGTTCGGAGATGGACGGCCCCAGAGAGGACCCGTTGATGGCCAGCTGATCAGTTCGGGAGACACTGAGGGCCTTGGCGGGCCCGTGCCTCATTACCCGGGCTCTGGCAATGGCAGGAGGAAGGTTCCCCTGGTCTTGCCTCAGAGCCCCGTTGCTAACACTCTTTCTGGGCCCGGGGTACTCGGGCGGGGGCTTGTTTGGAATCCGGGCCAGGGCGGCCTGCAGCTGGGCGCTGTACTCCATCTTCCCCCGCAGCACGGGGATCTGCGGCACGGCTTCCGAGGCCTCCTCCTCCTCCTCGCTCTCGCTGCTGTGGATCAGCATGGTGGCATCGGAGAACGTCTTCTTGTGGTGGTACTGAGGAAGCTGGTGGACCTCGTGGCCGCCGGGCCCCTCCTCTGGAGGCCCCTGCTCCCGCAGCGTATTGCGGCGGGCCATGGGGATGTTAAGCGACTTCAGAGTCATGGCCTCCATGCCTCGCACCATGCTGTTCATCACCTCCAGGCTGTGGCGCTTGTTCACCGTGCCATGGTGCTTGGTGGCCGTGAGGGGCTCGCTGACCTCCTGGAGAGACTGGTGCACCACCGGAGAGCTGTCCTCTTGGAAGGTCTTTACTGACAGCTGCACCTTCCGTGTCACCAGGTCCGGACTACTGCCACTGACGTACTTGTGGCGGTGGCTGGCGAGGTCTGGGGTGCTGGTGGCAGGGCGGGGCCGCGGGTAGGGGGGAGGTGGCCTGAAGAGATAGTTCTTAAGCATGTGGGCAGTGCTGTAGTGATGGCTGCCTTGGAGCTGCATGTTGGCCAACTCTGGGGTGCTCACCGTGTGTGAGATGGCACTTGCCCCTGCCTTGCTGGGCACCGTGGTGTTCTTCGGGTTCATCTGGTCAGATGGACTGACAAGTTTGTGACTGTAACCCCCTTGTGGCCCATACGGGACCGTGTAGGGGTGTCTCTCGCGCATCTCCGGCTGGCTGTACACCAGGTCCTCGGGCTGGTTGTAGGCGTGGGTGTTGATGATGTTGAGGTTCCGCAGAGACTGGCTCTGGCTGTCTGCGTGCATCATCCCCCTCTTCATCTGCCGCATGACCGTCTCATAATCGGGGGTTGGCCTGTAAGATGGCACAATGATGGCACTGTGCCGGTGGCTAGGGATGTAGTCAGCCCGCATGATGTCGCTCCCAGGGATACTGAGGTTGGAGGAGACGGGAGAAGCCTGGATGAAGCTTTGGGAGCAGCTGAGGGAGTTGACACTGTGAACACTACACACACTGCCATTGGTGACAGTGCCATTTAAGTAATTTAAGTCCAGGCTGTTGTGAGAATTGCAATACAAGGCCTCTTCATTCCCGTGGAAAATGCTGTCTGTGAGAAGTCAAACAGAGACACATGAATCTTCATAATCTGTTTCAATAAAGAGCATCCCTACATGTGTGAGGTGACTTATTTAAATTTCAATTAATTTTAATTTAAAAAGTGAGATCCCATCTTCTCTACCTACATACTCCACAGAAGAACTAATAACATCTTGGATGAGATGTCAACACATAGAAAGAACATCTTGGAAAGAGTGAACCTAAACAAAGACACACACACACGGCACAGGCGTCACCTAGATAAGTTCTACATTTTGCCATGAGCTTTATAATCAGACACCCTGACCTTGGAGAGCCCTATCCTCTTGAGCAGGGCTCAGCAACAGGACTGGCTATTTGGGCTAGAATATCAAGAACTTCAAAAGGGTGACAGTTTCCTCTAGTACTTGGACATGCTCTTTCTGACTATAATGGAAAAGGTCCCTTTACCCAAGGGACTACTGAACTTTCATCAAGAAATCAGACCAATACGGAGACTAGGAGGTTTACATGGCTCACTCCTTCTGAGGCAGAATTAGAATCAGGATTTCTTTCAGCCCTTCCTGAAGTCTTCTTCTGGCTCTGGTTCTGTCACTGAGATCAAGTCAAGTAAAAAGTAACTATAGTGTGAAGAAGTACTAAAAGAGATATAAAAGCCATCTTCTCAAGTCAGGCCCATTCCAGATGCCCAGTGTGTCTTTAACACATGCACAAACCCCAGGAGGAAAAACTCTTACCAAAGTCCCTTTCTGTGGTCTAAATGCATTCGCTATCACACCACTGATTAAGCAAGAGCAAAGCAGAAAAAGACAAAGTCAAACTGGGTGTGGTGACACACACCTGTAATCCCAGCAGCTCAGGAGGCTGAGGGAGAAGAATCAGGAGTTCAAAGCCAGCCTCAGCAAAACAGTGAGGCACTAGGCAACTCAGTGAGACCCTGTCTCTAAATAAAATACAAAATAGGGCTGGGGATGTGGCTCAGGGGTCGACTGCCCCCCTGAGTTCAATCCCCAGTACAAAAAAAAAAAAAAAGACAAAGTCAGAAAAGGTGAAAACCAGAAATGGTGACTGAAAATATTTAACCAAAAGGAGGAGTGTGGACACAGACTGGATTGGATAAGACAGGCAGGAAAAGCTAGAACACAGAGACCAAGGTGTTGCAATTTATCCACCCCAAGAGGGATTTGGTGTCTTCCCATAGAAGCAACTGCTTATAAAATGTACTGTTGTATAATCCAGGAGGTGATAACATACGATTTTTTTTTACCATCTCCTGTTTTGACATGAAGTTTATATGATAATTAAGATACCGATGTTCACATCCAAACACAACCATTAACCTCTCTGCATCCTAGCTTCTATTTCTATAAAATGAAAATAATAATAGTACCTATAGGTATAATTTGAGGATTAAATGAGACAATATATAGCAAGTATTTAGAAGAGTGCCTGGCATATTTTAATGGCTCTATAAATGCTGATTGCTACAACTGTAATTGTTATTACTAATGGAATGGGCTTTTTCATGCATTCTGCATGGGAGATATTTTGGGAGAAAAAGAAAAATAAAGCAGATTTTGTTTATTCTGAGAGGCAACAAATAAGTTTGCTAAGAAAGGGACTGGAGGGAGACATGAGAAAAGTGTTAAAAGAAGAGGCTGAAACTGTTCCTTCCAGTGATAACTGGATACCTGTATTCTCTTTCTTTTTAAAAAATTTTTAGACATTGATGGACCTTTATTTTATTCATTTATTTATATGCGGTGCTGAGAATCGAACCCAGTGCCTCACACATGCTAGGCAAGTGCTCTTTCTCTACCACCATGAGAAGCTCGCTGTCTACTACAAGCTCCTGCTGTTGGCAAGGAGGGTGAAGCACACTCCAGGCGGGCTAAGCAGTCACTCTCCTCTCTAGTCCCACTTATGACAGGGAGGAAGCAAGAACTGGTCCCTGCCTTGACCCCACCTCCAAGCAGCCAATTCTGGGGCATTTTTCTTTCAGGGGTAATCGATATCCTAGGTCTTCCACAGTAGCTGCTGGCTACTGTCACTCAGACAACGACAAAGTTAAAGTGAAAGCATCAATGTCATAAAAGCTGAGAACTTCTCTGTTGCTTACTGGTACTTGGCTTTGTCTTAAGAAGGGAGATGGCGGGCCAGTTACCTTGTGAAGTGTGTGTTTCCGAGTACTGCTCGCCACACTGCATGTGCACGGGAGGCAAAATGTACGGCTGCTGTCTGGGCTGAAACAGAGAACAGAGCGGAGCTGGGGAGAGCTTTGCCAGAGAACCAGCCCCAGCTGTGACAGTCCCCATAACCCACAACCATGGGGAAACACACTGGTGCCACTCTCCCAGCCGCCCCTCCGACTTACCCCTCTCCCACCCATCTGTACCCACATCTCATCACCAAGTTCAAGGAAACAAGGGAGAACCTGAGTAGCTGTCTCAAGGTCAGAAAGAGAAAGAGGCCACAATCAAAAAGTGGGTCAGCTATTTATTCTCTTTTTCTCTTACACCTGCAAAGTTCTCTATGCCTTGGCAGGTACAATCAGAGCAGAGTCATTATCATGACCCATCCCAGCTACGGAAAGGAGAAAACTTGTTTTGTTCTATTCAACATTGGCTCCCCCCTGAGCTCCTATTCATCAGCATAACCCAAGATCTTTGTTCACAGGTCCACAGCAACCTCAAATAGGACAGGGTTAGGATAAGTCCAGTTAGGATGTTAGGATGAGTCCAGGGTGAATTTATATAAAAATCTAAAAATGTGACCCACAACATTGAGTGTGTGGTTCTCAAGGTCACTTACTCATCCTTCCCACGGCAGAACCAAATGTGTGGGAGAGGCCTGACAGGGAACCCAGTCTAACTGTCTACTTCCCACGCCAATGCAGAATCTTTTCCATTAGACTCCCAAAGATGGCCATTTAGACTCAACGTGAATCACTTTCCATTGCACAAGAGGGTAAAACTTTTAAAGAGAAACAAAAAAACTCAACGGATTAAATATTTGGTGAAATTCGATGATTCTTAGATGATCTGCAAGTTATCTAAGCTCAACAGGTTTCAGTTTCCTATTAAAGCAAGCTCCTCCCTCCCTGTACCTTGAACATTATCCATATTACTTATATATTGAGGTTCCAGATAAATTTGTTGGATGAAGGAGTTTTGATGAGAAGAAAAGAAAAACGCCCTAGCATTATAAACCACCAATCAAGATGATCTCTCCTGTATCTTTTAGTATAGGTTTGACTTTCAGTTGACTGTTTCAGGCAGAGAACTTTTAGGAAGCTAACATCAAACCAAGAATCCCAGAGCCAGCAGGGGTCACACTTTCTCAGCATCTTTGAAGAGAAGAGCACTCCCCAGTGTTAGAAGCTAGGGAAATAACTCTCCTGTCATTTTCTCTAGAACAAATAATGGCAGGGCACCAAAAGGGCAAGTAAGAAGGTGATGGGTATAAAGGATCAAAAATCTTCAAGGAATAAAGAAGGAAGAAATAAAGAATTGAGATTAAACTAAGAGGACAGTGTCGGGTACCAAGGAAAAGTTTTTCTAAATACTCCCAGGTGTCCTTGTGGCTGATTTTTGAGTTGTAATTTAAAAATATTTCCCCCCCTCTTTGGCAATACATAATTCAACTAAAATTTTCCACAGTAACACTCTTGGTTTTAAGGTGTTTTTTTTTTTTTTTTTTTTTTTTTTTAAACAGTGCAGAGAAATTTGTACAAGGGAATAGAAATTCATGGCAGGCAAACCTGGTCTACTGCTTCCTCCTGCTCTTATTTTTTTTTTTAATTCAACAAGCAAATGACTGTTTATGAATTGGCACAGATATATGAGCAAAGGAAGCTAATCCTTCAAACACGATTTCAGGATTATATTATTTATTTCATATCTTTATCTATTCTAATATATTATTCTTTTTCTTTCTAGATCCGCTAACACAGACACAGATTAGATGCTATAACACAGGCAGCAAGAGGGATGAGAAAACAGCAACTGGCAGTCCTGGTGACTGGCAAGGAAGCCAACAGGCCACATCATCTGGTCGTTCTCTTGCTCATTATGGGGAACTCTGGGTGAACAATTTAAATCCAAAAAATCCAAAAGGCAGGGGAAAGGGGGATGCCCTGAATCTGTCTTCCTATTGATTGTCTTCATCCAAGTAAGAAAGGTAAGTTTCTGCCCCTTCTCTGGATAATTAGGACAAAATCAGATCACAACATGGCCTTAAAACACTTTGCCTCTCATGATGTTTCCTGGACATAAATGAGAAATGATCTCACTAATTAAGACACTTGGACTAAAAAGAGAAGGAAATTCACACTAATAAAGAATAGAAAAATAAAGAAACCAGGGCCACAAACGAATCCACTGGTGCTCCTGGGGAAATTCCAGAGGTTCCCACCAAATGTCCAAGGCAAAGGGCCACATGTGAGATACTGTGCATAAAAATGAGATTAATAATAGTAACATGGACACTCAGGGACTCTCCTTTGATGATATAATGGCTCAGCTCTAGAATTCTGGAGTCCATGTCCATGTATTTTCCAGAAAAACAAAAAAGTTTTCCTCTACAACTTTTTAAGAGTTAAATATGTGCTGATATATAAATATGTACGTATAAATATATAAATACTGTACACATAGAAAAACTCTAGTGATACCCCTCTCAACTCAAAGGGTCTGTTCACCTAGGGAAAAAAAAAGGCTATTTGTTTATTTCGTCTATGAATAAAAAGTCATAACCTAAAAATAAAAGAATGTGACAAAGCACGCAGAAAACTTTAAAGGAAACTAGCTAGTCATATCTATTACATTATCATTGAGTAATCTGCAAAACAGAACACAGCCGTGGTGTGAAGAGAATAGTTTTGTTTTGTTTTTTTTTTAATAAAAGAAAAAGAAGCTAAAGGTAAGGGAAAAAGTAGATCAGTCCAAATTTTGTTGGCTAATTAAAGCCTTAAAAATTTAAGTTTCATAAACTTCTGTATCAGATACTCTGAGACAATTAATCAGATTCATTCTTTTTAAATGCTCATTTAAAAAGCATTTTTGTATATTAAACTAGTTTATTAAACTCTATCTGTAACAGTCAATACAAAAAAAAATGTGTGGAGCTTGTAACTGAGAACATTCCTTCACATAAAGACCAGAACAGATGAACAAGTGGAGAAAAACACATAGTATGTTGAACACTGAAAGTACATAGTCACATGGACCTGGAAAGAGAATTATAGGGGTGCACCGCAAGCCACACCTAGATAAATGATGGTCACATAAGATGGGAAAGCAGCCAGGACAACATGACACCGTGACAACACTGCTTAGCAGGGCGGTACCCTTCTGTACTCTCACAAGATCTCCTCTGGTCATGATGCCCTGGTCCCCTGTGCCCTCAAAGTGCTAACACAACACTCCACCCAAGTCAGACTACTGAAGATTCATACGTACCAGGGAAGATCGGCTCCAGGTGGGCTGGCGTCTGATGGGGGGTGGCGAATTTGATTGTCTACGTGAAAAGTTGAAAAAATAAGAAAGGTCGTTAGACACACCCAAACACGAAGGTTGTTCATTTCTGGATGCTGACCTTTTTCATTCTCCTCTTTACTCTCAAAATGGTTGGGACATCTGACACTGTGTAACAAGTTTTACAAACTGCTAATAAAGGAATAAGGCATATTTATAAAGATCCTAAGAGAAATAAGACTGAAAAACATCAGCATTATTCTGTATGTCAAAAAATCATACTCTTGTTCTCTGGTGTGTGCATAAAATCTTTCATAATAAAAAAGGCAAGAAGAAAAAAATATTTTCAGAATGCTTCCAGCCAAATGATATTTCAAAATAGACAAAATATGTTGTGTATGACCATAAAGAAGCACTTTTACTAAGTTAATACATATTAGAAATATCGATCGAGTTTTTTGGTTTGGGGAAGAGATTTTGGGGACTGAACCCAGACCATTTTTGGGGACTGAACCCAGGACCTTACACAAGCTGGGCAAATGCTCCACCACTGAGCTACATCCTCAGCCCCTGATCAGATCCTTTACAGATGGAGAACATGGATTTTTTTTTTTTTTTTTTTTAAGCAGAGATAAAGGAGAGTGGGAACTAGGATACGATCAAATTCTTCAAAACTGAAATCAAAGATGCCTTTTGGCAATGGGTCCCAAATGCCATAACAGTATTTCCCCTATTCCTCAGTGTTAATAAAAACAACAAAACAAAACAAAACAAAACCAAACCCGCAAAGACAGAAGAGTTTTTCATTAAGTTAAAGTTCATCAATCTAACGGCACTCTCCTTATTCTGAGTGCCACCTTCTCTCTTTGGCAATAAAGTAGCTTTTCTCTTATGAAATGAAATGATGTAATACTAAATTTTTTAAATAACTGGCCAAATACAATATCACCAGACTTATGTTAAACACGTTCCTCCCATCCTAGGAAGGCCCCCAAAGCTATACTTCCAGATAACAGTGAGCAGCTCTGCAGAAGCAGAGGCAAAGACAAAGGCAGATCTTGGTGGTTATCGAGTGGAGAGCCCTGGGGAAGGACACGCTATCCCTACCTGGGGAAGGAGGCTGCTGAGGCAATGCTATTTCGTAACCCTCCAGAGGGAGGCACCAGGTCTCAGCAGAGCTTGTGCTGAGCTTTGGAAATTGTATATAGAATTCAATAGGTATATGGAGAGAAAGACCCACATTTTAATCAGATGAGAGGTGAGGAAATGCCCAAACCATATTAGGAGAAAGGAAAGAGTTATTACGGAGGCAGAATAAATACCAGAACTGTGCCTTGGTCTGTAGTCCAATATGCAACATTCGTGAATATTAGAAGGAAAGACCACAAAAGAAATACCAATACACAGTAAATTCTATAGTAAAGCTATTTGCTGAGAAATGGTTAAATCAGAAGACTACAGTGAAATCCACTGTTTGGAACTTTTTTTTATTCACCCTACAGAAGACAGCCATGGAATTCTTGTTAACATCAAGGACGCTCCCACAGGTCAAAGGCAACAGCAGAGTGGAACTGCACAGAGTGACCAGGGAACCTGCTCAAAAGAATGGTGTGTTTGGGGGAGAGGGGCGGGTATGCGAGAACATGTCCACGAGAAAGACACGGCTGCCTAATTTAAACTCCACATCAGTCCTTCTGATTTGCCTTTGCCAACTTTGTTGGTGGGCCTAAGTGTATCAGATACACATTTTGACCCCAGCAGTGACCAGTTGCAGTGCTTGGCTTGAAAGAGCCTCCATCACATGGAGAAAAAAGTCTGCCTTGACCTGGGAATCCAGTTCTGAAGCAGCCGCGCTCTCCGCAGCACCTGCACTAGGGCAGCCTCGACCACTCTTGGATGTGCCCACTGTGGGAGTGGAAAAGCAGCTCGTCTCTTGCATTTACATCCCTGACGTTCTTTGAACCAAAATTAAACACCTTGGATGCCCAAACTGTGAATGGACTCCGCTGAGGAACGTCTTTTGAAGGCAACTAAAGTAAAGATGAGGATAGAGCAAGCCCCGGCACGCTATCTCCGAGGTCAGGCCACGTATAAGTGCCCTCATCAGACTCCCCTTTATCATCTTTATTTCCAAATTAAATTAAAAAAAAAAAAAAAAAGACACGCAGATGTGTGACAACGCCGAGCGCCTTCCACATCTTCCTCTAATTACCCTGGCCTCTCATTTGCAGTCAGGTGACATGACCCAGGAGCACATGCAGGGTTAGCCAACTGTGTGAGCGGAACGGGGCTGAGGATGACAGCAGCGTCTTCTCTTTCAAGTTGGCTCACCGCTCCGTTACCCACTTCTGAACATACTCCACATCTGACGCGAAGGGCACCCTGGCAAATTGGGAACTGCTCGGCTCCTCCGAACTCAGAGCCGAGGGTTGGAAGGTACTAATGTGGCCAACCCATCCAGGCAGTCGAGCGCTCGCAGTCAATTTGCGGATCGTTTTCTCTCTAGGCATATGGACTACACCAGACAGTCTTCATCATTAAAGTTCTTTCGCTCCTGCCCGGCTTTAGCCTACTTCTTTGGCTTCTACAAGGATCAAGGGAAAAGAGTAAATGGGAAAAGTGATCTACGCCCTCCCTGGAGCACACGCATTTGATCTGAAAGAGCCTTCTAGAGAGAGGGTGAACTCAACGTGTACTTACTCGGTGCAGATTTTGTTTTGTTTGTAAAACTTGTGCCGTGTAGTAAATAACCGAGAAATATACTTGGCATTTTCGATATCATCCTTGGAAAAAAGAAGAGACGAAGAAAAACAAAATCAGTTTGATTAGATGCACACTTTACTAGGATCCTCTAGGCTGGGACACATCCCTCCCTCTCTTCGTCTCAAGTAGAAAGTGACACATGGGCCAGGAAGCAAATGAACCTGAATTTTCAGTGGCAGCTGTGTCTACAGAGTTCACCAAAGAATGGCAGAAAATGTGAAGGAATTCCTTATGTCCAAGGCACTGGGTCTTCACTGATAAATTGGAATCCTTATCTAACTCTGAACCAAGTCCTTTTCAAATAAATAACTGAATCAAGACAAAACACCAGAATATAAACACCAGACTTCATTAAATTGGAAACAGTGAGATGCATGAACAGCCCTGGCTCTTGAGGAGGAACCCAAGTGGAGGTCAATTGCTCAGCTGACTTTGATTAAGCTGGGGCTATGATGGGAATGGAAATTCAGGACACCCAGCTGAAGAAAATGCAATGTAACATAATCAGAGGTCACTTGATGAGGACTACAACTGAAGTTCCAAGGAACAGAGCACACCAGGAAAGGCTATCACTGTAAATAAGGCACCTAGGAGAGCCCAAAATCTAGAGTCCAGAGTAAGCTTGGAAACCTGCCTTCTTGAGCATGATACTTCATCAGCACTACCCTGAAATGAGTAGCGATAACACTGAGCAAGTATTACAAAGACTCTCTTCAATAAAATATTTATTCTCTTAAGATAGGGAGAACAAGGAAATGATATTATGAATTGAAAAGTCAAAAGGCACGTTGTTCATTGAACCCTCTCCATCCATTTTGCTTACCGTGTGAAAGAGGGCAGTCTCTTCCTTGTTGATGAGCTCCAATAGAATGGTCGACTTGTTGTGAGTGATGTTCCCAATGTCATTCCACCTGGGACAAAAGAAATGCAACTGTGTTTGTCCACAGATGATCCCTGCATTTAGTTCCAGTATGGGAGGGTTCTGTCTGCTACTGTCAAATCACATTTGACAAATTACAGTTTAACTTTTTTAAAAAGTTAAATGTTTCTCAAAGGACAGAAAAAGAAGGAAAAATGCAATGTGTATCTATTTACACAGGCAAAAATTATATGTATATGTAAAATGTATCTAAACACTGATATTCATAAAATATATTTTCCTTTATGAATAGGTATGAGAATAATTTCTATGAGACAGTCATGGCCCTTTTCCCCCATATTTCCAACCTGCCAAAGCATTTCCCATGGGCCTTGCTCCCATGACCCCTGCTTTGTAGCATAAAAAAGCACAGCATTAAAAAGTCATGTTGCCAAGAGTCTAGATTGAAGACTCCACATGGACTCTGTGTTGCAATGTCCACTACAGCTCAATCATCCCATCGAGAAAAAAATGTGTACGGAATAATACTACTCCATAATGGTGATCTAGACATGGGTACACACATGAATGTACACATAAGAGAATTTCCTTCCTTGTCATGGAGACCTTGTCTAAAATGAGATGCAATGAAATAAGCACCAGGCAAGAGAACACAAGCCAAGCAGCGACTTTCTGCTTGGAGCCAGTTCACAGTCTACCCTTCATTCAGTTGCAACCTACAATTTCCTGCGCACTGTACTCCGTCACGCGCCTGTCTGCCCCTTATGCCTCCAGCATCCCCTGCCTGGATAATTCTCCTAAGACTCAATACCGGAATTCCCTCCTCAAAGAAGCCCTTCTTCACTCCTCACCACCCATGTGCAAAGAGAAGAACCTGCTGGAGTCCTCTATTCGCCACCACAATGTGTCTTACATTTTCACTTCCGTGACAAGCTCTCAAAGTAGACCCAACATGGCCCTGTGGGGATTCTGCTTCTTTTATCTGTATTCCAAGCATTGAGTCAACTACCTCACATAGATCACTCAATAGATATTTGCTGAAAGAATGAAATACAGAATGAGGGGTACGACAGCTCAGTGGTAGAGCACTTGCCTAGCATKCATCAGACCCTGGCTTCCCTCYCCAGAACTGTAAAAATAAAAAATAAATAAAAAATGTGAGAAGTAATACTATGGCCTCTCATCTGTACCAAGAAGGATTATTATACCCACTCTAAAGCAAACAAGGAAGCTATTTCTCCTCCTACTTTAGGGAAGAGGCCATTTAGACGTGACTGAGTCTGACTCAGCCATTCACTCTGCTGGTCAGGGAGGGATGAGTTCTTTACCTGGGGTTTCCAGATTCCCAGTTTCCAGCCATCTTTCCATTACACCAGCCCAACTGTGTTTAACACATGTGCTGTGGCACGACTCTACTGTGCTCAGCCCAGAGTGCTGCCACCTCCACCAGATTCTAGCTACAAGAACTCATGGCTACATGCTCCTCAAGAGATAAGAGACTGGATTTCCTCTGGCTCCATTCCTTCAAAGCAACTGCCAAAACTCAACAGACACTCTGCTCTACCATGACTTCAGTCGGTGGCATGGTGAACATGACACTAGTAGAAGTTACATCCTGTAGGGGCTTCAAGAAAAGGGCAATATCTAGAAGCATAGGGAACAGCAAAACTTGTGAGTGGCTTAGGCTCATCACACTTGGATGCTGCTATTCTTTTTCATCTCACCTCTATAGCTATTGTGTAGGACTGGTCTACTTCCCTTTTGTAGGGTAAATGAGAAAGTGAAACATCAGTTTAACTTGGAGAACTGATGGGACAAATGTCTAGACAGCTTTGAAAGGGCACAAAAATTTAGAGTTACCACTCTGTGATTATTCCCATACTTTATTCAGTTGATTTACACTTTGTTACAGGTGTATGGAGTTGACTCTGAATATGTTCAAAAGACAAAAATTATATTGTGTTCCAAGCTCTGAAGATCTCTCTCCCCATTCTAGCTTCATTAATGTCTCTATTCAAAGAATAATTTTTTTTTTTAAAAGCCATAACAATAATGGCAGGGTATGGACCTTGGGAAACAAAAGCAATCAAGAAGGTTTTAGATGGAAATCAATCTCAAAATGCTGTAATAGCTGATACAGAGAGTACATGGTTGGTCAAGATTCACTTCCAGAAGTGGGCTGTGCTTTGCCTCTGACAGCTGTCTTTGAACATCTGCCCTAAATGCAGAGCTCTGTCTATCAGATCCACGTACAGGAAAGCTGCTCTTCCAGTAAGCAATGAGCTATACTACCCTTATAAATGAAAGCAAGCTTGCCAGCGTTATAATAGAATCTATGGGCACCAATACCAAGAACAAGGTCAAGGATATAAAATGGGACATGGGTACACCACCATATCCCTACATTGAAACTATTTGTGTTAAGCAGAAAAGAGGCTTCAAGTGTCAAAAACTACCGAGGCATTTAAATTTGTTATAGTAAATTGAATGCYTTTTAAGGTACATTTTTACAAATAATGCCCTTGCATTACTATAAAAGTTAGTTTGCACCCTTCAACTCATGTGGTTACGTAGAGGGTGCAGAACAAGGGAAGAAGTCAGTTTTCTTTTTCTTTCTTTATTTTTTTGTAGTTGTACACAATGACTTTATTTTATTTATTTATTTATTTTATGGGGTGCTGAGGATCGAACCCAGGGCCTTGCACATTCGAGGTGAGCACTCTACCGCTAAGCCATAACCCCAGCCCCAGGAAGAAGTCAGTTTTCATCCAGCAAGTGATCATGATAGTCTCCACAAAAATAACTGTCAAGAGATGATCTGAGTTGGGCGCAGTGGCACATGCTTATATTCCCAGCAGCTTGGGAGGCTGAGGCAGGAGGATCACAAGTTCAAAGCCAGATTCCACAAAAGTAAGRTGCTAAGCAACTCAATGTAACCCTGTCTCTAAATAAAATACAAAATAGGGCTGGGGATGTGGCTCAGTGGTCGAGTGTCCCTGGGTTCAATCCCTGGTATCTCACCCCACTTCACTCCCCCCAAAAAGAGATGATCTGGAGAGCTGATTCCAACCATAGAGTTTAGTTCCACTGTTCCAACTCAGTGGGATTCAATGATGCATTTTCTGGAGTCAGGGCGGAAGAAGGGGTTTCCCCTCCTGAATGAGGCTTTCAGGAAAAGTGAGATGAATTTTACTCTTTATGGGTAAAGAGATGATCTTGTGAGTTGACAAAAGCTCAACTCTGATCCACAGTCTGGCTCTTAACTCATGTGGATAATTTAACAGCTGATGTACTTGTCAAGAATCTCTCACAGAGGAAAAGGAAAAAGAGGGGTTGGCAAATAAGATTACCTATATATTACTGCTTGTCTTCCAATCCTGTTTCTCACAAAGATCCCCATAAAGAAAATGCCAAGGTGCGTACTGTTTCCATGATTGTCCTGCATAAAAAAAAAAAAAAAAAAAAAACTTATTAGGATCCGTGTTCATTACAGAACTATTCACATCAGGCAAAATAGGGAATCAACCTAGTTGTTCATTAATGAATGAGTGGATAAAGAAAATGTGGTTTATACACAACAGGATATTATATAGTCTTAGAAAAGAGAAGGAAACCCTGYCATTTGAAACAACATGGGTGAATGTGGAGGACATTATATTAAGTAAATCAAACCAGGCTCAGAAAAACAAATATAGCATCTCACTTAGATATAGAATCTACTAAAGTTGAGCTCATCAAAGAAGAGAGCAGGCCAGGTGCGGTGGCACACACCTGTAATCCCAGTGGCTCGGGAGGCTAAAGCAGGAGGATTGCAAGCTCAAAGCCAGCCTCAGCAATTTAGCAAGGCCCTAAGCAACTTAGTGAGACCCTGTCTCTAAATAAAAAACAAAAAAGGGTAGGGATGTGGCTCAGTGGTTAAGTGCCTCAGGTTCAATCGCTGGAGAGAGGTGGCGGGGAGGGAGGGAGGGAAATGGTGATTACCAGGGACTAAAGAGAGGAGTGGGTATTGGGAGTTGTTGGCCCAAGRACACAAAATTTAAATTACATTGGTTTTAAAATTTCATGCTGACTATAGTTAGTAAAAATGTACTGTATTCTTGAAAGTCCATTAGAGARTAGATTTTAAGTATATTTTGAAGACTTGAATATTCAGTAGAACCCCCTGTCCCCCATTTTGCCTTCCCAGAGGCAGCAAACTTCCATCTCTTGSAGCCCTACTGTGTGTCTTTACATCYGAGCTTGGCTCTTTCCATGGAGAACCTCATGTTCCTCAACACTGAGCTATTTTCTTAAATTACTCCCTCCCTTTCCTCTGTTGACTGTTTTTAGAACTTGCATCATTCAGGCATTAGACATCCTAGATAAGTTCTCTAATTCTTTTATCTCTGGTCTCCCAATTTTTATTACTTTGGATTTCCTGGTGAAGCTTTTCTCAATTTTCTTTTTCAATCTATTTAGTATTCCATTTCTAATATTATAAATTTCGGAGAGTTTTTAACTTTCTAAATTTTTGTTTTCTAATTTTCCTTTTTATAAGCACCCTATTCCTTTAAGACAATTTTCTTTTCTCTTTTTTATTTTATTTTTTTAATTCTGAGATCTTGGAGGTAGTACTCTAAACAGGGGGTTCTTCTCCCTGATTCTTTGCTTCTTACAGGCCACTTTATTCTCATCATGTCAGCCTCTGCCACTCCTATTAGGCACGTAGAGTGGGTGATGCTGGTGCTTTGCACTGGCAAGGGTATGCTTAACCCTGGATAAGAACTTGTGAGCACAGGAAGAGCCTGTGTATGGCTATCCGGTGAGCTGAGGGCCCTGTGCTGGGGAATCCCAAATATCTGATCTTCAGTCTGGTTTCTTGATGAAGTCAGGTGCTTCCAGTCTCCTGCTTGGGAGACTCTTGCTGCCAGGGCTCTGAGAGTACAGTGGGAACAAGGCTCAATATCTAGTAGATAAACTGTCACTCAGTCCCCTGCTTGCAGTAGATGGGGAGGTCTTCTTTCTAGGGCACAGTAAGGGGACATGTGCAACTAGACCAAGGACACTTGTCCCAAAGAAGACAGTATCCCTTCTCGTAATCCTGTCTCAACTTACCCACCAAAGCTTTGCTAGCATAGAAGTCTCTAGCAGGGATAGAGCAAGTAGGAAAGACAACCACTGGTTGCAAAAGCAGGGAAGAGGGTTAAGAGAGAAAAAACTGGGGAAGAAGAAAGAACTGTCTTGGTAATGACAGGAAGTTAAAAGGCAAGTTATAGTAAATAAAAATACATGTGGGAAAAGATCAGGAGTCGGGATGGAAGGAGATGGAAAAATTTTACCAAAAGACTTCCCTGGCACCTTTCCAATAGGTCCACACTGGAGTCTGGTAATGATGGGTTTAAGGGAAGAGTAGTTACAGGACGGGGAAGGGGATGAAAATACACAGAAGGGATGCCCCAGAATGCTGGGGGTGCTGAACTAGTCAAAAATAAAATAAAAATTCAGCATCTAACTGAACAAAGCTTGGAAAATCCAGATTCTGCCTTTGCCAGCCCAGAAGCACCCTTCTCCATGGTCAATGCCGTGACAATACAGGAGCCACTCAGGTAGCAGCTATGTCTTTATTTGTGGGGGAGAAGCAGGGGCAGAGCTGTCAGGAAGTGGACTGGCACCCTTCCAGCCCTGGAATGGTTTTAGGAACTGCATGTGGAAAAGCCCACACTAAATGGAACTGTCTTCCCCAGGACACAGTGTGACACGCTTTCAACTTCTTTGGGTGCTAAGGACCTGTACTAACCAAAAGGGCCTATGGCACCCCTCACTCTCTTTCCCTGCACGTTTTCCTGTCTGCTTTGAAAACTGATTTCAGGGCTGGAGTTGTGGCTCAGTGGTAGAGTGCTCGCCTATTATGCACAAGGCAATGAGCTCGATCCTCATCGCCACATAAATGTAAATAAAATAATGATATTGTAACCACCTAAAACTTAAGAATATTTAAAAAAAAAAACCAATTTCAGGGCTCATTACATCACCGACCCGACCCCACTGGTCTTGCTGTTCCCACCTACCATCTTGGGTTACTAGGTATCATATGATCTGGAGGTGGTCACCTCAGTCACGGACAGTCATGTGGGGAAAACCCCAGCAGTGCAGCCGAGTTATACCCACCTGACAATGAGTCAGAGGTAGGCCAACTGTCCCTTTTGGTTCCACTAAAGAATCTATTAAAAAGAGCACAGAAGCCCACACAGTGGATTTCAACACTACCTCTACTGTGTCTACGTCCCAAGTTCAGAATTACTAAAAACAAACAAGAAAATGACTGCAACAACCAAACTCCCAACTTCCAAGCACTGAGAACTCAGTTTTCTAGCAATGGAGAAAAGTTTACTGATTTCTGAATGACCCAAAATATCATGACTCTATATGGGCTGCTGAAATGTAAGTGGGATGCAGATGGCTTCATAAGGCATTATCGCAAGGAAAATGGATTACAACCCTACGAAGGGCAGCCATTAGAGAAGCAAAAGAAAATTAAACAAATCTAAAAAAGAGCCATTTAGCCCTTTTCACAAGCTGCGACCACCCTGCTCGATTCTACTTGATGCACATGGGCAGTTCTCATTAAGGCAAATTGCAAACGTGCAACAGAGGGGGAACAGAACACATATAAAACAGCCACTGGAGCCAGTCTGGAGTGAAATGTTTGTGCCGGAATTGCAGGCGTCTCCCAAATTGCTGGAATGTGCCAGTTGATAGAACTCCATTTTTTGAAAAGTTGGTCAGCAGAGAGAGGAAAATGAGTGTGTATTACAGGCTTAGCTCTATAAGTGACCATGCACCATGAACCCTGACCACACCCACTTGAGGACATGGATCTGTTGCAGAGGATTCGATGTGCTATTTTCTAGGTATAGTTTCCACAAAGCACCAAAAGGGCTGGAAACCCACAATGGAGAGCTCTGCAGAGCTGGAGAAATAAAAYGCACCCCATATAGGAAATGTTTTATTCTAGTTCACTGACAATTATCCCTATATTCATTCAAGGAAAAGCAACAGGCCCAGGGAAGAAAACTATTAGCCAGAGTCTCTGTCGATACACATATGACATGAGCTACTTGTCCCACTGAGACTAAATACAGTCTCAGTACCTTCCAGGARCCTGATAAGCTGGTGCATGATACTCAGATGGTTGTCTTGACAAATGAGGTATTCTGCTGACCATGGAAATCTTCAAAATCTCTTAGCTAAGAACAAGTGTTTGCTTTACCAAAAGTAAAGGGGACTTGCCAATTAATGCCATGTAGCAACAAGAAGGACAAGCCATGCTGGTCCACTGCTATCAACACTGGTTTTTCCAAATGCCTGCACAGTTCTGAAAAGGCTGAAGCAAGAATGGGGCGTGACACGCTACCTTCACAGGGAAGATTTCCTGTCCAAATCCATCCAGACGTTCCACTTCATTGATGTACATTAGCTCAGCTTCTGCTGGCAGGACTCCGCTACAATGAAAATAGCATTAAAGGAGGAAATGGTGAAGGGCCACAAAGTCAGTGGAACTTCCTACCTTCCTGATGGCAAATTCCAGAGCTGTGGTTTAGCTCTAGTTTCTGGGAAGAGCAATCATCACCTGACTGTGAGGGTACGGTACATTACTGGTGATTCATTAACACAGACCCTGGTAGCCTTTTACTCAACAGGGACAATAAGGAGGGTGGGGGTAAAGTATTTAATTAAGAGTCACAGTCCTGAAAACATTAAATAATTATTCCAGACATCCCTGTGAATAATATTCCTTGCTTTAAAAACAAGGTCTCCCCACCAAGTTGGAAAAATTTCTACTTAAAAGAAAAAAAAATTTTTTTTAGGGTTTATTATGATTTACTTGAGGGTGATATTTGGGGAGCCAAGAGGCCAAGATATAATACCGCCTGGGTTCTCAAGAGTTTTCAAGGTTGGATGGAAAAGATGTCTATTGTCTACTGGTCCAGCACAGTTCCAAGGAACCCTGTTACCCAACACTCAGTGAAGTCAGTCTCCCTCCGCTTCCCTCTTGATCTTCACCTTCCCACCCAGCACGGCACTTGGCTCCATGCTCAGAACAGGCAGCGCTGGGCTTTTCCCCAAGTGGCAACAGATTTTGAGGAGGTTCAAAGAGAAGAACTTTGCTGGGTAACGACTCCACCTCTATGTGGAATTTCTGGTGAGAAGGCGGAGGAGGAAGAGAAGGAGAAGGAAGAAGAGGAGGAAGCAAGGAGGTGAAGAAGAGAGCAAAGGAGGAGGAGAAAGGGAGGAGAAGGAAAGAACAAAGAAGGGAAGGAATGGAAGGAGGAAGAAAAGAAGGAAGGAAAAGGAACAAAGAAGAACTGGAGGGGGAAGGAGGGGTTTTCGAGACCTCAGTAAAGTTCAGAGTTGAGTCACACGGTAGAAGCAGCAGACCATGCTGACCAAGGCCAGGGGTGGGGTCGGGAGATGAAGGTGCCCTGTCTGTTGTCAGTGGGTGTCTGCTGGCTGGCAGGCCCTGGGCCTTCTGCCTCCTCACCTGTGAGCTTTATGTTCTTGGGCCACTTTCTGGGTCAGCTCTTCTAGAACAGCCTCTTCCAGGGCCAAATCCTAGGGAAGTAGAAAACAAGTCCAGAGGTATGAGCATTTGTCATTTTGCTTGCAAACCATAAAAGTTCCCTATTTTAGAGCAACACTCCAACATATAGGCACAGGCAGTGATGTCCTTCCTCAGTAGTGGACTCCTAAAGCTCAGGAAATAATGCCAAGAATTATTAAATGGGATAGCATTGAATTAAAAATCTTCTGCACACTGAAAAAGGAAACAAGAGCATGAAGACAATGCCTACAGAATGGGAGAAAATCTTTGCCAGTTATTCTTCAGAGAGAGGCTTAAAATCCAGAATATTAAAAGAACCCAATAACTTGACACCAAAAAACAAAATAACCCAATGAAAAAATGGCCAAATGGCCAGGCGAGGTGCCGCATGTCTGTAATGCCAGTGGCTTGGAAGGCTGAGGCAGGAGAATCTCAAGGTCAAAGCCAGCCTCAGCAACAGTGAGTTGAAACCCTGTCCCTAAATTAAATACAAAGTAGGGCTGGGGATGTGGCTGAGTGGTTGAGTGCCCATGAGTTCAATTCCTGATAAAAATAAATGGGCAAATGAACTAAATGGACATTTCTCAAAAGTAATAAAAATGGCCAACAAATATATTTAAAGAAATGTTCAATATTCTTAGCCATCGGGGAAATGTAAATCAAAACAACAATGAGATTTCATCGCACCCTGATTAGAATGGCAATCMTTAAGAAAACAAATAATAAATGCTGGCAAGGATACAGGGGAAAAGAAACACTTGTTCACTGCTGGTGGAACTGTGTATGGTAGGATCACTATGGAAATCAATATGGAGGTTCCTCCAAAGACTAGGATTGGAACCACCATGTAAACCAGTTATACCACTCCTTAATATTTATCCAAAAGCACTGAAGTCAGTATACTATATATACATGCATATCCGTGTATATAGCAGCACAATTAACAATAGCCAAGCTATGGAAACAGCCTAACAGATAAATGAGTAAAGAAAATGTGGCATATATACAATAGTGTCTTTGCTATAAAGAACAAAATTATAATATTTGGAGAAAAATAGATGGAATGGGAGAACATCATGTTAAGTGAAACAAGTCAGACTCAGAAAGCCAAGAGTAGCATGTTTTCCCTCATATGTAGAAGCTAAAGAAAAAAGGAGAAAAATGCATCTTATGAAAACAGAAGGGAAACCAGTAGTTTAGAGGAAAGGAATGGGGGTGGGGAAGAGGAAAGGGATAACGGAGGTACAGGGGAATGAAATGGACCAAATTATGTTATGTGTACAAGTGTCACAATAAATGTCACAATAAATTCCACTATTATGTATAATTATAATGTAGCAATTAACAAAACTTTTTWAAAAAAATTCCCTGTTTTAGAATATCACTTAACTAGCCTTACTTTCTCAATCTCTCCTTTACTCCTGCAAAAGCAAGGCCTATAATGTTGAGGACTGAGCTGTGATTCCTACTATTGTGAAATGACTTTCCACTGTAACTTAGGTTATTCCACGGTGTCATTTGGATTATCATCTAAATTCTCTAAGACTCAGGAATAGTTCTTTCTTCATTTACCTTTTTCCCTATCTGTCTGTCTCTCAAACGTGCTTTCATCAGAATCGCTCGGTGTGTACTTATGTATTTTTGATAATTAGAGTGCAGACCAATGAGTTTCTAAGCCACCATCCTTTCAAAAGGTGAACTCAGGTAGGCACTGGTGCAGATCTATGTGTCCACTTCTAAAATACCACAGACTCATTCAGACCACATGAAGGCAGAGCCAGCTGACGGCACTGTTACTCAGCAGTCATGGGAGGGAGGCAGTCATGATAGCTGAAAAGTCTCAAGAGCATTCAGTAAGACAGCAGGCACGGAGCCAACCAGTCAGTGTCTCAACCACCTGAGATCCATGCTGGTGAGCACCACAAAGGGCACAGGTGTGCTCCTTCTTCCTCTAAGCTCTGGAGGAGAGGACAGAAGGGACTCAGCTGAGTCCTGATGAGGGCACCCTGAGGCTCATGATATTGGAGGTGCAGAGTGGGGGCTCATATTTTTACAGAGATCATATGAAATGCCTCAAACCCTTCTTTCTAAAATACCATTTATAGAGAGACTTACCTCCCATTTAACAACTGTTCATGGATGAAACACCACCCCCCAAAACATACACTTCAAACTGTAAGAAATATTCCATCTCAAAACATTGAAGTGTGAAAAAAAATGAGATTTTTAAAAGTGGGAAATGAGGATGTAAATATATCCTGGAAATTTTATAGCTCTGCAGATTCTGCAAAGTCCAGAGCTCACKAGAGAGTCCTTAGAGAAGACAGAGGGAACCAGCAGGGCTCTTATTTTTCACACCTACTGATTAACTTGCTGTTTCCTGCTTAGCCTTTCCACTAAATTGACGAGTCCACAATGAGAAATGAGCTCAATGCTTTCAGCTTTACGTCGCGGACGAACAAAGATATCACAAGGCTTAGAAACTTAGCTGTGTGTGCATCTCAGTATCAAGTTTTCGTCTCCAATATGATATTAATTTTGAAAAGCTAGTGAAAGATATGTGGCAACAGAATAAACCAGGGGTAAGAGAAGATCAAAAAAGGTTCCATTAAACCTCCACTTCCTAGTTTTATAAAAGAAAAAGCCCAAAGGAACCCCTCTGCTATTGTACTTCACTGCCTCCACCTGTGCTTGGGGCCTCCCTGAGGGCCTGCGCCCCACCAGAGAAATGTGCGAGAGTGGCCCTGGGTGAATGAGAGATGGCAGAGTGAGTGCCTTAYGCAGCTGCACACCTGTGGAGCGCCTGTGTACTTAACTTTGTTCTTTTTCTGCTGAAGAAATGCCATTTGACAAATTCAGTAACTTTGTAAGATCAAACACGGCTATTCATCCTATCTTCCCTCCCCCACCAAAGGAATGCATTCTTCTCTTTGAAAGCTCTGGTGGAATCAAGCAGAAAGTTTACAACCTTCCATGGCTCCCCACTGCCTCCTCAATTAGGTCAACAGCTGAGCCCTGCTATCACACCATTCTTCAACACGACCCAGCCTTTCCTTCTAGATCTCCTCCCCCAAGGGTTTAGGGCCTCAGGCCACCTTGTGATCGAATACAAACTGCTTTTAGATCTCTGTTCCTGCTCATGTCTACCCTTTTTTGGAAGAACCATCCAGTCCCACCACAGTGTATGAAATGTCACATTGTCCTTCACATCCCCATCTCAGCAATCCCTGCCCTCCACAGGGCTTTCCTGCTTCCCCCGCTGGAAGTAGCCTCTCTCACCCCAGACCTGTCTGTGTGTCTCTTACATTCTGCCTGCTGCGTTTCTAACACAGTCATTTGTGTACCCATTCCCTATTCTTGTCTCCCTCCATTAGAATTTAGGCCCCTCAAGGGCAATGATTCCTCTTTATATCACTTACAGAGTCTGTCACAGCGCTTTTCCAGAGTGACAACTTATAAGTTCACCCTACAGAGTCAATGAGCAATAAATGTTCAGGGAACGCACTACTTAGAGTGTAAGTTTCATACTATGAGACAAGAGTTTTTGATTATGCAAAGCTGGTTAGTGATCATTTGTACCTTCTGCCTGTCCTCGGCTCACATTTCAAAATGCAAACAGTGCCAGGCACAGGGGCATGTGCCTATCATCCCAGGTACTTTGGCACCCGAGGCAGGAGGAGCACAAGTTCCAGGCCAGCCTGGGCAGCTCAACAAGACCTTGTGTCAAAATAAAAATGGCTGGGGATATGGCTCAGTGATGGAGTTCTCCTGGCTTCAATGCCCAGTATCTCTCTCTCTCTCTCTCTCTCTCTCTCTCTCTCTCTCACACACACACACACACACACACACACACACACAATGCACACAGTGATTTTACCTAGAAAGCGCACTCTTTAACATCCTTATGTTTGCCTACATAAAAATATAAAGATATATAAGGAATTATGCTAACAGGACAACTGAATAAACAGTTACTGAGAATCTCACCTGTGCCAAATTAGGTACTTCACGTACATTTTTTTCTTTGAATGCTCACAAAGGGATTTAGCTTTGTTCTCTTCATTTTATTATATCTTTTTAAAATATTTATTTAATTGTAGATGAACACACAGTATCTGTTTTTTTAATTTGTTTTTTATGTGGTGCTGAGGATTGAACCCAGGGCCTCATACATGCAAGKCAAGCGCTTTACCACTGAGCTACAGTCTCAGCCCTGTTTAGCTTCATTTTAGATGAGGAAAATGAGACTTAGAAGGCTACCGTGCCCAAGGTGGGCTGTGAGTGGCTMAGTCAGGATGTGGGCACAGCACGGCTTGGCAACTCTGCTGAGAAATTTCTGACCGCCGACCGCAGTGCACGCAGGACACAACATGGTGGGGCAGGGTGGGGACGTGCAGGGAGCGATGAAAGAAGATGGCTACAGGCAGAGACCTGGGAACATTTACTCAGACATATACTCCGACGACAATCAGTTTGTGCCACATCATCTTGGGCACTGTCCAACAGGACTGTGTGGGATGGTGAGAATGTTCATATCTGAGCTTTCCAACACAGTTAGCCACTAGGCAGCCAATGCTACCAAGGAGTGATTTTTAACTTTATTTAACTTTAAATTTGAATATAAATATGTACCAGGAGCTAGAAGCTCCCATCCAGAAGGGGCTATTTTAGAACCCCAAAATACTAATGTCAGGATCTGTTTGCCCACTGGTGAGATGTGTGGAGTCCAGGCTGTTTCAGTAGATGATCTGCTCAGAGCCCAGTAAGGAATGAATCTCCAAAAGGAAGCGTGGTGCACAAAACAACAAAACTTACACTCTTGACTGCTTCCTGACACCTGTCAAAGCATCTTACAAACTCATCAATCTCATGCTGGCAATCACTTTTGCAAACTCTGGCAACCTAACCCGGTCTCTTCCTTCAGATAATGCGAGTAGGTCTTTTAATAAGATTGGGGTGAAAAAAAATGTAGAAAATGCTCAACCCTCCATGATCAACTACTTCGTCTGAC